GCCTTTCCATACACTGGAAAAAAGTACCATGGTCACAGTGGTTGCTTGCTGAAAATAGAAAAGCTGTTCCAGAAGGAGTAGAAGCAGACAGTGACCATCATTGCAGACACGGGGGCCTTGAACACACTGGCAAACAACACTGGCACTTACCAGAATAAAGTGACTTCTTCAGAGACAAGGAAGTGAAGGAAGGGCAATGTTACTCTCCTCTTTGCCTCACAGAAGTATTAAGAACAAAGCTTAATCTTTCCTCGTGATAGACTGGACTTTATGCACGCAGGTGGACTGGGTGGTTATGGATCAGGAGACAGTGAAGATGAGCGGAGTGACAGAGGCTCTGAATCATCTGATACTGATGATGAGGAATTGCGACACAGGATAAGGCAAAAACAGGAAGCGTTTTGGAGGAAAGAGAGAGAACAGCAACTACTGCTAGAAAAACAGTTAGAAGGTAAATCATAAAATGTCTTTTTACTGTGCCACTATACATGGAGTTCACTACTTGCTGTATGTAAATTGACAGCAAAGAAATGTTTTAAGCAAAAAAATGTGAAACTAAATTTATAAATAATGTATTTTTAATACACATTTTTTAAAAAAACCAAAACCCTGTGATTTACTTCTGCTTCTCCATACAAGGTGCACTTTGTCTTTTGTACAAGTAATGTAGGCCAAAATGGTAGCATGGTCACCTCCCGGTGCTGAGGAGCTGTCTAGAGATGGATGCAATGCTAAGAAGTCATGAACCAAGTTCACAGGCTGGAGGAAAAAGTGTTATTATGATAGAACTTAAAATTGATGGTTTCCTCCTTTTAACTTTTTATTTAAAGGCCTGAAAATAAAACATCTGGAGCCATTAATAAAAGGCTGGGCTAGCTAAATTTCTGGTTTTCCTAATATTCCTGTCTCTCTTTGAGTGTTTGAAGATGTATGCATAACAGGATAGCCATATGGAGAGTGACTGAGTGGTGGCCTGTGACCTCTACCTTCCTAGTGCAGGAAGCCAGATGTCAGTGTGGAGACATCTCCATGGGACTGTTTGCAGAAATGCAAAACTACAGTGTAAAGCAGTTGATTCCACACATCCAAAATACTGAAGAATGCTCCTGCAGTGTTTTGGAAAGGCATTTCTAATGGACAGTACAGCATCTTCTAACATACACTAGCTTCTGCCTGTATTGCTTAATAACTTGGGGACCAGCTGGAATGGTTTTCTGGGTTAAATTTGACCATTAGCTGCCATTTGGACCACTCTGGGTTTCTGGATGCAGTTTTATTCCCTAAATTAATTCAGGAAATGATTGCCCACATCAAAAGGCCATTTTTAGGCAAAAAGTATATCTCAGTTATTTTTTTCTGGATACAATTTAAAATGGGGAAATAAAGTTGGCAGTGATGCAAAGGTTGAATGAAATTATTTTTTATTTTGGAAACCTCTGTGAAACGCTCTGAGGGTCTCAGTATGTGAGAAATACAACTTCTTCAGACCAGACAGTAATCCTTAAACCCAGGCGATTGGGGCTCAAATAAAGGCAGGAAGCATCAGTATTTCCTACTGTACTGATGAGGAGCCTTGTAGGAAGGAGAGAGAATCATGTGTGCAGAAAGGTTGCAAAAGGAAAAAGTCTTGTGTGTAGATCAGTTTAGGAGTTCTGGTGTCCCAGGATATTTGTTTGAGAATCTTAAAGCACTAAAACGTGATATAACATCAAGACTTCTTGAATGACTGGGCTCTATACTTTTTCTAAGTCAAGAGGATAACTTTCTTAGAAGTATAAGAATACAGAAAAAAAGAGTGTGGTTTGTTAAGTAGTTGGTGTGGTGGCAGTGTTTTAATTATAAGTATTATGAGAGGTGCTTGGAAAATTTGTTTTGTCAGTGTAATGGCGTGAAAATTACTGACATATTGCTCTAAATTAATTGTTTTTTTTTTCTGTGTGCCTCTTTTTTTAGAAGAAAAGCTACAAAATGAAAAAGTTTCAAAAGAGATGAATGAATTTATCAACAAAGAACAAAATAGTAACTTAGCATCACAGGAGACAAAAGAAATTGAAGCAGACATGGTTAATGAAAAGAAGAGATCTCCAAATGCAATTGTACCTGATGTAGAACTCAAGAAAGAGGGTAAAGAGAGGACAGGAAGGAATGGGTCAAGAAGTTCTAGCAGTGGTAGCAGCAGCAGCAATAGCAGGAGCAGCAGCAGTAGCAGCACAGTATCCAGTTCATCGTTTAGCACTAGCTCAGGTAGTAGTCGCAGCACTTCACGGTCTTCCTCTCCCAAAAGGAAGAAGAGACACAGTCGCAGTAGGACACCGTCACATAAAGTTAGACGCAGTAGAAGCAGGAGTTACTCCCACAGAAACAGGAGAGAGAGGAGTAGGAGCAGGGAGAAAATAAGGGAAAGGAGAAGATCTAGTAGAAATCACAGTGCTGAAAGAGGGGAGAGGCGGAGAAATCGGAGTCCTTCGAGAGAGAGAAGCTGGGATAGACGTAGAAGCGGCAGCCGCTCGAGAGACCGGCGAGCCAACCGTGCGAGCCGCAGCAGAAGCAGGGACAGACGTAAAGCCGAAGACCAGCGTAGAAGCCCTACTGGAAATAGGCACAAACATAAAAGTGAGGGTAAAGATCAAGAAAGGAAGAAGGAGCAGGGTGGAGGTGTAGATAAAGACAAAAAAAAGAACAGAGAAAGGGAGAGAGATCAGGAAAAAAGAAAAGATAAGCCCAAAAAAGAGGAAAAAGAAAGTAAGGCTGGCAATCATGACGACAGTAGATTAAAGAGAAAAAGAGACAGTGAAAGAACTTTCTCTCGCAGTGAATCAATATGTGTGAAAATAATAAGACAGGATTCCAGACAAGAAAGCAAAAAAATTACTACCAAAGATAGCAAAAAACGATCAGGCTCTGAATCTAGTGCAAGGAGTAGTTCTGAATCACCAGGAAGTAGTAAAGAAAAGAAGGCTAAGAAATCGAAGCATATTCGGTCATGCTCCATGGAGAAATCTCAAAGGTCTGGTAAGAAGGCAAGCCGCAAACACAAGTCTAAGTCACGATCAAGGTAGTATACTTTTTAAGTATTTTGTCTGACTTTTAAAAAGTTTTTTTATATTCGTCTTCATGTGTACGGCATATGAACTTTTTTAATAAAGTATGGTATTTATTAAACTTTTTGTCTTAGGCAAAAGTAACATTGGAGAATCTTTTAAAACTATTAATTACTAAGCCTAAAGTGTGTGTGGGTTTGGGGGTCTTTTATTTTTTCCAATTAACTTTTTCCCCCTTTTCGTTTATTTTTCAGATCAACAAGTCCTCTTCATCGTAAACGCTGAGGAATTTATGGCATCAGTGCTATGACGTTTAAAAATTCCATGAGTTATAAAAGGCTTGTCTCATTATAGAGGCACATTGTGGCTATGTAGGTGAAACCAGAATCCTTTTTTTATCTGTAAATAGGTGTATTTTTTCCAAATGCTGCTCAGAATTAAATACCTAATAGGATTTCTTTGTATTACATTTTTTCAAGAACGGTAGTGCTTATTAAGACTATAAAACAGGCCATTCTCTTTCAGCTGTAATGTTCTTAAAATTACTATTGAATGTACTGTGATGTCAATAAAGCTCTTTAGTTCATTTTTTGTTTAAAATTCTTGCACCTGAATTTTGTGGTAAATGGTAGAAAGTACTTAAAAAAAAAAGAAAAAGGCAGCTTTTTTGGTATAACAGATTTTTAAAGTACTTGAAAAAGATTTAACCTGAAACACTTGTAATCCATGGACATGATGAGATAACTTCATTGGGGGTGTGGAAGAACAGAGAAAAGACATTTTATTTTTCTTTAGATATGTGTAATAGGTTTTTTAATAACCCTTTTTTTTTGGTCTAGCTGGTACTATATGCTGTGTGTGTAAAATATGGGTCACTGTATTACAAGCTATACTTAAAGAGACTGAACCCCATTAGGAATATGTGCGATTAACAGATCTCACGTGGCAGTGTTAAACTCTGGAACTTTATTCCTCACCCAGTTTTCAGAGAGATATTACAGGGATATTACACACATCTCAGCATTTTAGATGTTTTTATGGAGTATGTTTATAAATGTCACTCAGTACACATTGAAAAACTGACAATAGGTTAACTTTACATTTTGGCACATGCATTAAATATTCATAGTCAATATTAAAGCTGGTTCTTAGTGTCACAAGAATTGTGACTCATGTAAAGCTGATACACTGATGTATTAGCAGTGCTGCTAAATTTTTGATTTTGATATTACCGTAAAGTGAATGAAGTCACTGATTACCTACTTAAGGGAAATTGACTATTGCTGTTAGAAATAAGAGTGTAAAATAATGTAAGTAAAAAAACAAACCAACAATACCCAACTCTAGGCCAGTGACTGTTACAGAAGAACATAAATTCAGGGAGAGATCTGTGCCTAAAAGGTCTGGTATGACACCAGTTGTAAAAAAGGTACAAGGCTTAACATCAAAGTAAATTCTCTTTGATTGGCTGTATCTTCTTAGAAAAAAAAATTGTACTCGTACAGGCAACTTGCAAAGCATGCCTTCATGAACAGATTAATCCATTTAACTAAATCAGAATTCAGCTATGCAGCTTTTTTCCACTGTAATTATTTTCATAAATAAGATGCAGAAATAAACTGCTTCAGTGCAGAGAAATACATTTTAACTATGTTTTTAATAAGCAAATGAATTGCCAGTGAATACATGCATGTTTATCAAAACACTGTTACAGATAAATAATCAGTTAGAAATTATAACAACCCCCTCAATTATATCTTTCACATAGAGTAAGCAGTCATACTTATTAGAAAAATAAAGCATAATTTATAACACACAACTTTTACTTGCAGTGGTAGCAATATAAATGACAATGTATCGATCCAATCTCACTACACTCTTGGCTCTGGGTAAGAGTGAGGAATTTTTGGAAAGTAGGTAGCATAACAGTTCAGATGACCTAGAAGGATGTTCTGTGAGAACCAGAAAAAAACTAGAAATAAGCTTAAGAAAAGCTGTTGAGGAATACAGTTTCCAGGATGCATTGAATTTGATTTTCAGTTCAGATTTTATATTCTCTGTCTAATAATAAAAAAGATTGTGTATGAAAAGCTTTATATACTCTGCCAACAACTGGAATTCTGTCACTTCCTGTAAATATGAAAATTATTTTTTTGACACAAATGCACTTACATGGGTAGTGACTGTATGCCAATAAAAAGAGCATACGATCTCTGTACTTAACTGTTTCAGAAATCTTACTATAACGGCCTACTCATCACTCAGTAATTAAATACACGTCGGTACTCGTCAGCATCACATACATTAAACTTCTTTGTGCTTTGGAAGCTCCCCTTAGAAATGCCTTTCACCAGAAAAGGCTAAAACAACAACCACTCTTTTAATTCCATACATCTGAAGTGATCCTAAAATGTGCAAACACGTACAAAAATGGGAATGTATAATTTTAAAATGAGCACCGTAAAAACATGTCAGTGCACTACAAGAAAGAAATACATAGGATTTTGAATGTTATGCAGCAGCATAACAGTTGGAGGCATTTCCCTTGAAGACTTTTTTAGTAAATAAGGGATGGTGCGGAATCAAATGAACAATGATTTCCATGCAAACTGTTCTGAAGGTGAATACAACCAAGCCAGTGTCCATATATGCCCCCAGGTACCTGCTACACCATATAAGAACAAGAATTAGCTGTGGCCATGGATAGGACAAAAAAGAGTAATTGAGTAAAAGATTCAGCAGCTGTTGAACAGTGCTGTGTTTTGAAATATGGCACAGTAACAAAAACTGTTCTGTATTTGAGGCTCTGTCTCATGGAATAGCTAATTCTAGTTGCAAACAAGCATGTACTTAACTACTGTTAAGTAGACTACATTGCCAGTGTGCATGTATTTTCTTGCTTGTAACCAATTTTAAAATCACAAATATAAAAACAATGGCAACGTAAGGTTTGGCTCTCGCTCAGATTTTGCGTTTGCTAAATGGATGACAAGTAATAACGCTGGATAATATGGGGATGCATGCTTTGAAGGGAGGCTTAGTTTTGTCTCTTAAGGAGTCTATCCTAGCATAAAGGATTTGTTGGAGCTCTGGTTTTTTCACTGGCTCTGAGGTGTTATTAATGACTTGTAACTCCACTGTGAGCTTTGTTGGATAGAAAGCAGGTGAGTGGAAAAGTGAGGCAGGTACACACTAAGCAGGCGTGCCATATATTTAATTGCTGTCAAGCTTTTTTGATCCCTTTCAGCAGTCCTTATTTAGTTTTAAAAATAAAATAATCCAACTTTAACTACTACACTTACAGGAGACCTGTAAACAGGCAGATTTCAAGCAGTAAGGGTTGTAGTATCAAGCAAGGTCAGTTCATAAAGCACGCTCTGGCACCAGAGGGAAGTCAAGCCAAGACTGGTTATACTACTGCAAATTTCGTGCAGCCTGGAGAATGCTGCTGCCCTTGGCTTTGTGCAGGCCGTGCCTCCTGCCTGCAGATGCCAGCATCTGCACAGCCAGGCAGGGAACCCAGCCTGTGATCATCATCTGCCTGGCGGGCACGGGAGCGCTGCCAGCTCTGCTTTTCACAGCTTCCTGCGCCTTGCACTGTCCTGCTGCCTTACAGACGGCTTTGATTTTCACTGGGTCTGCAGCTCAATAAAGTGTCGTTAAAAAACTGGCTTAATTATTTTCCATTTGTGTGTGTCAGCCCTGAACTGCCAGGGCCATTCGCCTGAACCTCATTCAGCTCGGGGCCCTGGGCAGCAGTGCTTGCGAGGGAGCAGGGAAGGCAGCCTTCTCCTTCCTGGGCCACAGCCTGGACTTCATCTGCAAGCCATGGCAGGGCAGCCTGTGCGAGAGGCGGCAGCATGCCAGCTCCGATGGTTCCCATGAGGAGCCCGCCCCAGGCACAGGCTCATGCGGACCCCAGAGGTTCTGCTCCAGGCCGCAGTGCCGGCTGCTGGCATCGCTTCCCTCCTGAGCCTGCCCCGAAGCGAGTACTCTTGTACTTTGTGCCGTGCCCTCCAAGCCCGGTGTGTTTCTTGCTAATGAAAGGGACTGGGAGCTGTGGGCTCGTCGCTGCGTAATCCAAATTAGCCCCTGCTTTCGGGTATTTTCGTGGTCCAAGACGTGGCAATGACGGGGCACACATTAAAGCAGAGTCGCTCCAGGTGCAGCCCCGGCGACGAGTGCTGCCGTGAGTCTGGCTTTGTCACCGGCCCCTGCGCCGGGCGGAACCTTCCCGGAGCCCGCCCGGCGAGGCAGCC